CTCGCAGAAAACCCCTGAAGGATACAACTTCTGGATGAGGTCGTAGGCGTGCTTGTAGTTCTGGGTGAGGAAGCAGAGGGACACGGTTGTCACGGGGTTGTGGCACCAGGAGCGGTACAGGCAGCAGAAGAGGTTACGGCTTTCCTGGGGAAAAGAGGGAGCCGTCGGGGTTGGGCCACCAGCAGGAGCAGGGACGTGGCACAGAGCCCCGGGTCCCCGACACCAACCCGTCAGGTTTGCGAGCACTGGCGCCACTGCCACCCACACACAAAGGGACCTTTCTGGACCCACCGTGTCCATGCGGCGCTGGCATGAGCCCACCGCGCTCGGGAGATGGAGACCCGGTGGGTTTTGGGGTGGCAGCACGAGCTGGTGGCTCCCAGAGCTGCTGCGTCCACCGCAGGATGAGGGGCTGGAGGGTGGCGGCCCAGCCAAGGGGACACCACTGCATCAGTGGCCTTCATCACGAGGAGCAGAGCTCTTCCTCCCTCTCCCTGCCTTGCTGGGATGCCACCGGTGCTGGTGGCAGCTGCTCGGCAAACCCCATGGGTGTGTTCCCAGCAGGGACAGCTGAGGGACCGGGGGGCTCTGCTTCCACTGTCACCTGTCCCCTGGCCTGTGTTGGGGTAAAGGGAGGGAGGTGGCAGCTGCTTGAGGGCTTGGGGAGCCCGTTCCCACCCGGGGAAGAGAAGCAAGGGTTGGGCACGTCCTGCAAGGCCTCCACAGGCACCCAAACTCCAGCCCTGGAAGCTGCCAGGAGGGGACCGAGCAGCAAAACACGTCCCCAAGTGGCTCCCAGGTCCCCACCGCCCCCATCACATCCCCCCCAGCAGCTGAGCCCGCTCCCGCTGTCCGTACCGGGGTCTTGAGGTCCTTCAGTTGGTTCCTCAGCTGGAAGAGCTCGGAGGACGTCAGCAGGATGGTGTTCAGGGTGTGGACCATGGTAGAGGCGAACTTGAGGTCCTCTTCCCGAAGCAGGATGTCTGCCATGGAGTGAAAGATGTTTTCTGCGTTCAGAAGTAGACAAAGCTGCCTGCGTGGCACAGAGGGGACAAACCAGAGCGGGGAGGAAGGTTAATGAGCGCAGCCGGGATCCTGACCTGAGCCCATGCATCTCCCCTTCCCGAGAGAGGAGCAGGGTGACAGACATGGGTGCACCAGAGGCCGGGCAAGTGGTGGCACCAGAGGGGAGATGTTCTGGGCCATGCATTTGGAGGGTGCAGCTATTCACACCAGGGCAAGGCCAAAAAAGTACCTGGGCCAAGACACATCTGCCAGTGCTGCTGTGGGACCTCGCAGCACTCACCACCACGGCTTGCAGCCACCTCAAGCCTCCAGCGACCCCCATCAAGAGGTTTCAGCGTCGCTTTCCACCCTGACAACTGCAGAGAGTGTGCGGCAATGTGGTTACGGATGGCATACGATGGCCCAGTCAGACCAGTATCCCTCTGACACCAGGGAACTGGTGACAAGCAAGCGTGGCCATTGGGACAAACCGCTTCCTCCCAGCGCTGTGCAACGCCGGGGGTCTTTTCCCTCCACAGCCCCCTTTCTCCCAGTGACCTGCCCTGCTGCTCTTTGAACTCCTCCCATGAGATCCGGTGCCGAGGGGCCGTGGAGCGGCACTCGGTGAAGCTGGAAGATGCCTCTGCTCTGCCGGACACCAAAACACGGCACGGCCGGCGCCATGGCCCGTGCCGATCTGCCTGGCCGGACCCAGCCGGCCACAACAGAAAACAAACCCTGGGGCATCCTCAAGGTTTTCCACATTTTAGACCAGAAACCAAAAAAACCCGTTTTTTTTTTTAACTCTGTTTTTCCTCCGCGTTTGTTTGGATTCGAGGATTTCCTGTTTTCCTCCAGGCTCCTGCCTTCCCGGGAGCTTTGTCTGAGGACACCTGAAACGCTGCCCAGCGCCGGCTCCGCTCTTTGGTACCCACACAGGGGAGGCCCAGGTCCCCACGTCTCCCCCACGGGCTGACGGGGAACCTCAGCACCAGGGAAGACGCTGCCAACACCCCCAGCTCCTCTGCTTCCCCCAGCTCCCACCAAGCACCGTTCCCCACCAGGCAATCTCAGCTGGCAACCGAATCTCCCCCTGGAGGCATCTCAGAAGGGCTGAGGAAGCCAACAAGGAGCCCTGCTTTGGTGGCTGGGTGGGAGGCGATCACTACCTGCTTGGTTTGGCTGGGAGGTGGGATGCACACCTGAATTTCCACCCTCTGGTCACATTTTCACCTCCTGGAGTGAGGAAGAGGAAGGAGACAAATTTCCAGCCCTCATCCCCATGGGGAAGGGCCACTGGAAGAATAAATACGGCTTTAGGAAGACACCAAATGATAAAGCCTGGTGTTTTAGGGCTGCGGGAAGTGGATGAGGAATGAAGAAATGGATTTTTTTCCCTCCTCAACACATGGAGGAAGAAACCCCCCATCTTCCTCCTACCCCTGGCCCTGCCAAGCAGCCCGTCCCGTCCTCACCCAGCCCCGGCTCCTCTCCATCGGCAGCTCCTGCGTGGCCGCCGCCGGACAATGAGATGCTCTGTGCGGGCTTTTACATAACCCAGCCCGGCGATCGCCCCGGACCCCGTTAAAACGGAACGGGCTGTGATAAATAAGCTCATTTATCCCAATTATTCTTACGTAACCGGCTGCATTCATGGGGATGAAAACCCTTCCCCGATTTCTCACCGCTTGGACGCGGGGCTGGCTGGCGGGGGGGGGGGAGGGAAGGGGAAGGCAGCGGCTTTTAGTCCAGCCTGACGGAGCCAAAAGCAAATCAATAGCTCAGCATTGCAGGCAGGATCCGGGCATCGCCAGCTGCGGCAAAGCGAGCCCCGCCCCGGCAGG